ATATTGGGCACTCATGAGATCTGTTCTTGACTATGGATGTATAGCGTACATGTCGGCAGCAGAATCAAACTTCAAGGAATCAGATGTATTGCAAGCTCAGGCCCTGAGAATCTGTAGTGGGGCATTCAAATCATCTCCGGTATCATCAATGCAGGTGGAAATGGGAGAAATGCCATTAACGATTAGAAGATTAAAATGAATGATGGCATACTGAGTCAATCGCCAAGGACAAAATGAAAAATATCCTGTCAAAAGTGTATTGAAAGAATGCTGGGAACATAATGAAACCAATTGTACAAGTTTTGGGTGGATAGGTGATGCTAAAGCAAGAAATATAAGATTACATAAATTACAGTACAGTAATACAGTATCAATTTCCTCTATTCCTCCCTGGTTATTCCCCTTGCCAACTGTTGACCTTAGTATACAGCAGGAACTGAAAAACAATTATAATCAACTTCCGATATAGTATATAGTCCAGAAGTATTTTGAAAAACATCTCCCACAGTCAATGGTTTTATTTACAGATGGATCCAAGGATCCTGATACAGGATATGCAGGTGCAGCAGTATATATTCCAATGTGTGAATTTTATATTAAGAAAAGAGTAACCAACCATTTGTCAGTATATGCTACAGAACTATTGGCAATATTATTGGCCCTACAGTGGATAGAAGAGAAGGACTAAATAACACTGTCATTGCATCTGATAGTTTTTCTGCACTTGAAAGTATCAAATCTGGCAGGTCATCAGTTAGGATGAATATTATTAACGAAATATTCTGCAAGATGTATGAAATGAAAGTTAAGGGTATGTCTACACAATTCATTTGGGTTCCTGTTCATGTTGGTGTGGAGGGAAATGAGAAGGTGGATATTCTGGCTAAGCAAACTCTAAGAATAAAGTAAGTAGATCTACATATTCCATTAAGTAAAGCAGAAGCTAAAGTATACATTAGAACATATACACAATCAGTTTGGCAGATATATTGGGATGACCATGGAACGGGTAGACATTTGTATAATATGTAAAAAACAGTTGATGCTGGGAGAAAGGAGAGTAGAAATCGAAAGGAAGGCAATATCATTACACGTCTTAGAATTGGACATACTGGACTTAATAGTACGTTAAATAGAATTGGTAAGCACCCAACTGGGGAAAGTGTACACTGTAATCAACAAGAAACAGTTGAACATGTACTCCAATGTGTAAAGTAGACATTTGTATAATATGTAAAAAACAGTTGATGCTGGGAGAAAGGAGAGTAGAAATCGAAAGGAAGGCAATATCATTACACGCCTTAGAATTGGACATACTGGACTTAATAGTATGTTATATAGAATTGGTAAGCACCCAACTGGGGAATGTGTACACTGTAATCAACAAGAAACAGTTGAACATGTACTCCAATGTGTAAAATACAACAATGAGAGATGTCGCCTTATTCAGTCAATGAAGAAAGTTAAACACCATGACTTTTCTTTGTCAGGTTTATTGGGGAAATCAGCTAACAAGATATATGATGATACTATTAGGTTTATAAAATAATGTGAATTGAGTAAGAGAATATAGATAGTATATGTGTGTGTGTGTATGTATGTGTGTATATGTGTGTGTATGTATGTATGTATATATATATATATATATATATATATATATATGTTTTGTTTGTTTTATATGGCTTTTTCCCCCTCTTTCGCCAATAAAACACCAAAGAAGATGAAGAAGTTTGCAAATAACGCGCTTCTGGGAGTTAGTTTTGGGTTATAAAAAAGAAAAAAAAGAAAAAAAATAGCCTACGTTCTGGAAAGGTTGAGTCTACACTGAACACCCAAAAATAACCAAACGGAAAATATATGGAAACGTTATCGTTCTGCGTTTATTCTAATACTAGGCTATTAGTTTGTTTGGTTTTATTTTATTTCTAGATTTTCCGTTTTCATTTTGATTTTATTTAAAGTTTTAGTAATTTTGTTGTGTGATTCATTTATATTAGTTTTTCATGTGTTTTTTTTATTATTTATATATTTCATATAATTATATATATTTTTTTATTATTATCAGTTTTAGCTTTAGTTTAAAGGTAGGTAAACTGAATTAAACTGAAAAAAAAGTTGCCTTGGTAACTAGCTGAAATAACTATTTTATATAGGCTATCTTAATTTATTTCAGTTAACGTTTAACCATAAAACGTGCACTTGTTTTAAAGGGGTCATATGATGCGATTTCAAGTTTTGCTTTCTCTTTGGAGTGTTACAAGCTGATTGTGCATAGATAAGATCCCTGAAGTTGCAAAGACTAAAGTCTCGAAACCAAAGAGATATTCTTTATCAAAGTTAAGACTCTGCCACGCCCCCCTAAAACGGCTCGTTCTAACACGCCCCCACATATCTACCTCACTACATTTCTCGCCTGGGCAAATGGTTTTATTATGGGATGCGCTTGCCATGTTCTGCCTCAAGGTGGCGGGCTTTCTAACAACAGCATTGACTTGATCGGTGTGGCGTCATAGCTGTGTGGGCGGAGTCGGCGTGGGGGCAATTGGAAAAGCATGGTGTTGACTCAGAATGGCCTACATAAAATTATTTCTGCTGCTCGACAGAGCAACATACGCATATAAACTGAGCCGTATTGGGTCGGACTGTCCGTACGGAATCTGTGACTGGACCAACGACCCAACGGAATGGCCAGAGGTGTCTTTCCCCACATTGTTTGTTACCTAATTGAGCAAGAGACAGCTTAGGCTACTACAAGCCTGTAGGAGACGGCTTATGAAAGTAAAAACAACATGTTTAACCATGGTATCTGTAGTAAAACTGTGGTTACAGGCTACAATTGGTAATAAAAAACATGGTTAGCCTACTATACTTTTACTATAGTAATACCATTGTTAATTTTCGTAAGGGATTGTGTATAATAATATGAAATAAATGTTTTATTAGATTATATATCACCTAGGAGGGTTACTGTGATCTTATAGTTTATATATTGCTTATACATTTTCCATTGTTAAAACTAATATTATATTTATATTAAAATATAATATTATAATATAAAACAAATAATTTAAGCTAAGTTTGCTTAGCGTTTTGCTTCGTTTTGTTGCGTCGCGTCGACCGCGTAGCTACGCTCTTTGATTGGTCCACTGGATGCTGCACGCGTTCCGTCCCCAGCTCCGAGACGCGTCGCGTTTATCACGCATTGCGCAGACGCGCCCCGGATCCGCTGGGCGTTTGTGCTGCTGGCGGGCTACAATCAGCTGCTAGACGTTAAACTACACGAACTCCAGATGTGCAGAGGCTCGAGCAATAGTCAAAACCTCTGGATTATATAGAGTCTTTGCTCATACTCGGAAGTGCACTGCAAATCAAGGTAAGTCTGAACGAACGCTTTGGACTTTTCTGCATCCGTCGAGACTTTGTTTCACTTTTGTACTTTCACTCCTGTGTTGCCGATAACACATACGTTTCACGTAAAGGTTGTATTATAGATTAACTGTTCATCAGGCAAAAGTCTTAACATCTTTTAACCTTTAAAACGTCAAAAGACGTGTGAACTTCATTTCCTTGTTTTGCTGTGCCTTTAAACGGACCATCATTGGCTCTCGTATTGTTTGCATGCATGCATTGCTTTTATAAACTGGGGAATCATTCAGTAACATGCTTAGTGTGTGTGAATGCATTGAATCCGTTTCCACTCTGTTTACATCTAGACTGCATTCACATTGACTTCTCCATAGCATCTGAATAGTTTGAGGCTGAATGCATGCATGCATGGCTATTAAAAGCCCTTTAAACACACACACACACACACACACACACACACGGTCAGCTGTTGTGGTCAGTGTGGGTTTACTGAATGACATAGGAAGTGATGAAAGCAAGGGCTGTTTCACCATATAACCCTAGTATTTCTTATCTAAAACCCACACCCAGGCCACTTTGGTAGCACCAAGGAAAAACTTGCAGTGTTACTTCAACTTAATGTTTTAGATGCCACAGACTCCCAAATATGACCATCCTTGCGAGAGGAACCACCGTCCTACAATATAAAAAGCATCTATAGTTTTTTACATTTTATTTAAATACCAAATTTATATTGTGAAAAATTGCTAAGTTTATTATTTGTAATTATTTACTCATTTATTACTTAAAAATACATTAAAATATATAGAAAAAAATATATTTATTTAATATGCATGTTGTTTATTTTTACCGACATTTTTATTATTTATTTTTACATTTTGTTTCCACTGAGAAAACCGTTTGAAAACCCCTGGACCCTTCGGTTTCCTTTTGGCTCTTGTATTTTATGCTGCTTTGTATTAAAATCACATCACACCTAGATGTAACCTGAGACTGCGCTCCACACAGAAGTGTTATTCTGCCGCTGTTGACATGTGATCGTATCACAGCAGACACTAAAGCAGCATTTCTATGGGTGTAAGCAGAAGCACCACTATTTACATAAGGAAGAATGGACATGTGCCATGGCTTGCAGGACTCAAAGCGCAGAGGAAAGAGTGTCATTGTATGTCTATAATAGTGAGAAGTGCAGTGGTGGTTGAGGGTGTTGTCTGTGGATTCTCTGAGTGACAGTCAGCCACGCCCAGAAATACGGAAAATCCTGCCTGTAGGCTACAGTGACCTGACCTCACCAAACAACCTCTGCTGTTCACTCACATTAGGAAAGAGTACAGAGTTAGTAGCTGCAAACCGGAATATTTTTTTAAAAGAATTCAAGTTATCGTTGCTTACCTTTGATCAATGTTTAATTTAAGTGTATAAGTTAATTTCTGCACCATTAATTGCACCAAACGGCAAAATAATTTTTGACTAATATATATATATATAT